TTAGATGGTGGAAAGCTGTGGCGAAGCAGATTGCCGGGAGCCTTGGGAGTGAGTCTTTGGGGTCGGTTTTGGTGGAATTAGATGGTGGAAAGCCGTGGCGAGCAGCCTTGGGGGTGAGTTTTTGGGCCGGAAGCCTTGGGAGTGAGTCATTGTCGTCAGTTTTGGTGTGGAATTAGATGGTGGAAAGCTATGGCAAAGCAGATTGCCGGGAGCCTTGCGAGTTGGGGTCAGTTTTGGTGTGGAATTACATGGTGGAAAGGGTTATGGGCTTCCAAAGGCGACGTTGGGCATTCGACGCTGCTGTTAGGGTTTCGGTGTGGAATTAGATGGTGGAAAGCTGTGGCGACGCAGATTGCCGGGAGCCTTGGGAATGAGTTTTGGGGTCAGTTTTGGTGTGGAATTAGATGGTGGAAAGCCGAAGCAGATTGCCGGAGCCTTGGCGGTGAGTTTTTGGGCCGGGAGCCTTGGGAGTGAGTCTTTGGGGTCAGTTTTGGTGTGGAGTCAATCAGATGGTGGATAGCCGGGAGGCTTGGGAGTGAGTCTTTGGGGTCAGAACAGTGATTGCCGGGAGCCTGGGGATTGAGTCTCTGGAGCTGTCTCTGGAGCTATAGAGAGATTTGGAGCGGGCTTGTGCTTCTGCACAGCAAAGCACGTCAGGCGGTCCAGGCACACCAGCGACAAGGCTTGCCGTTGGGCTGAGTGTGTTGTATCTGATTTCGACCTGTCAGCTTCGTCGAGAACACAGCCGTGCCTGATGGGCTCCATGTCTGAGGAAGATGCCGTCAAGTATTGGGAGCACTGCTCAAATCATTGTGCATCGTTTCGGGCCAGGATTTTCTGAACTGGAAACGCCAGAATTCTTTGGACGTGTCGCAACCACGGTTTTCATGTGCTCGGTTATGTCTCATTTTTGGGCTGTTTGGCTGGGACCTCAGCATTTCGAACCGACGTCCCGGGTGGGTTTTGAGATCCCCCTGACATCCCCGATGCTTAGGGCACGGTGGTTTCAGAGTAGAGGGGTCGGCGGCACCAGGGCGTTAGCCCTACTTATTTGACTTCCCCAAACGTTAAAACAAGGATGGGATTTTGTAATTGTCACTCATCTTTGCTGCTGTTTCAGTCCATGTTTGCAAGTCCTTGCATTTCTGGCTGGCCTTGTCTGCGGATCTGACAAATTTCATAGCAATGGGATTGCAGTTCCACCGCTTCGTTGGAGGTTTCATGTATAGCAAGGCGGCGACTTCCCCTTCGACCATGGTGCTTTTTTTTTCTCTAAGTCTAAAGGCTCTGGGCTACCTATTGACTCTTCAAAGAGATGTGCTCCACAACACCAAAACTTCACAAAAACGACACTGGTGGCAAACCTTCGCCAAGGTGCACCTACCATCGCAGTGAACCGCCTCGCCATCTTCATTGATGACTCCTCAGCGAAGAACTCCGCTTAAGTCCAGGAATTCATATTGACTTGCTGTTGAGGGCGAGAACACCACCGCCAATTGAAATGGTAAAGTGCAATCTATCAGGGCTTCCCAGCGTTCGGCGGGATCAGTCAGCAAGCAATTGTGTGTCCTTGGTGACTCTTCACTGACTCTGGATGTCTCTGGAGTGACACCTTACTCTGGGCCATCGGGGACTGGGCAAATCCAATACCTGCGGCTTCTTCAGCAACAAAGCTCTGAAGGCCTCCGCGGAGCGCCATTGCTCTGGAGCCACCTGCGACAGAGCAGACCCGCATGGTAGAACTTGACGGCCGTACTATGGTATCTGACTTGCCAGCACCAGGGTCAATGAACCGACAAAAAACTTCAGGCGAAGAACATCACTATGCTCCTGATCGGCGCTGATTGGACGCCATGCCTTGCCTCCAAAGCTTTCTCGTAAGAGGCCCTTGGATCAAGCAAGTATACCTGTGCAAATGCTCTTTCTGTCTACGCATTGCCACAAATGGGTACAGATGGGTACAGCATCAACATGCAATGCATCAAACCTGTATCTTCTACTTTCCTCCCATATAGCTCGTGTCACTCACAACAAAGTTGTGCTTTCAAAGCTAACCGTACCGGCAAAGATCGAGATGCTAAATTGTACCCTGGGCTACCAAGGTGAGGTGGTTTGCAAGCACATGCCTGCGGTTTCTTTGCCAGCGCCACTTTCAACTGCCTCAAACCCATTCTGACACCGAAGGAAATGGAAGGGCTGAGGGTGATCTGCAAAAGTTTGGAACTTCAGCATCAGCATGTGTGTAGAGTTCTATTCACGAACTCAGTCGTGTCGAAACTTCTAAAATATCTAAAATCAACTTTGGGTGTGATGAAGGTCTGCCAGCCTCAGGCTGGCAGCGCCACTACTTCCAATCTTTCTCTATACAGGGCTTTGAGGCCAAGGTGCTGAGGACTCAGTTGAAGCGGCCCATCACTGAGCCAGCGCAGCCTGAGTGGCAGTTTCTTGGTCTATATATATATATATTCATAGGTTTATTTATATATTTGCTTAATGTTCAGTATGTTTAAATCCAGGTAGATGCCGCCAATTTCCTCCCCGCCAGAAAATAGATTTTCCCTTGTCTGAATGAGCAAATGAAAACCGAACTCGAAAAACCTTCCAAAAAGGACAATCAGGTTGCAAAAGCAAATCCATTCGATCCCCTTGAGAGGAAACGCAAGGATTGCTGAGATCCGTGCACGGCTCTCCGGGCTGAAAAACCTTCTTCCCACCGACTAGGAGTCCCGGCGCCTGGGTAATCTGCTCAGGCGCCTCAGGCCATGGTCATAGTCAGTCATGGAGTAGTCGAGTAGTCTAGTGAGTCTAGTGGTCTTTCTTCACAAAGGTAGTGGGAAACTGAAAGGAAAACTTTGAAGAAACATGAAGAGAGAAAGATTGCATGAGCAAACTACGTTTGTTGGCGTCTTCCATCGGTCCAGCCAGACTGCAGGCACCCCACGGGTGGTAGCTTTGGCTTCAAATAGCTGGGCCTTCGTGTTAGGACTCATTGGATTGCAAGCAGAAAGAGACATCATCAAACGGTCTTATTATGAGTCTTATTGGCTTCTCTCCCCTCGTGGGCCTGTTGAGCTGAAACCACCCTGTCCAGCCAAAGGCCTTCAACCCAACAGCGACGAACAAAGGGATCAAAAAGAAGCGAAAGGGAAAAAGGTTGAAAAAGTATGTTGGATAACGTCCGGATTTTAACTGCTCGAGTTTGGAGATATTTGCACTTTTCCACCTTGGCGAGAATCAACTCTGCCTCCTCTTTGCCTGCAAGATGCAGATTGACCTTCATCTACTCTACTCGGACAAGAGCTACTTAGTGATCCGCAAACAAGCGCTGAATTAAAGATTGACAGAGTCTATGTGTCCACGATGCATGATTGTGTGTGTGTGTGACTTTGACCTCTTCTGAGCTTTCTTTCTGCACGGCCACTCAACCACCCAACAGTGACGTCCTTCGCCCAGGGACTTTGCAAGGGCGTCAGCAGCTGCCTGCGCTGTTGAAAAACATTAAAAAGGTCTGGCTGCGCAGGTTAACTAGAGACGGCATGGTTCTAGACAATTGACAATCAGATTAACTGTGCGAAAGCTCAAACATGCGAGCCTGCCAATGCTGCAAAGTGCCTTTCTCAGTGAGATCTGGCAGACAATTGCGGTGGGTGAAGAAACACCCGTATCCGCACGGCACAGCAGCACACCATCGCACCAACCATCTTTCACAGATTCAGCATGGGCAACGTGAGCATTATCTGAGACCCAGTAGAGGCTTGGCTACTTCAAGGTCTAAACCTTATAGATTACAATATATAGTACATGGCAACAGTTGTGCAAAGGGGGCCTCTCAAGCAAGACTACAGGTGTTGAAACTTTGGTTGTGGTGCCAGATCCCTGTCATAGTGGCACCCCTATGCTTCAAGTTCAATATACACTACTAGAACAAACGTGCACCCTGTTCGCAGCACTGTAGAACTTCTGTATGCGAATGCAGGGTAGCGCCTTCCCGCACAGCTTCCAGCAAAGCTGTGGGGTCAGACCTCATCACAAAAGCCTTCTCAATCCAGCAACCATTGGACTCAGCATGTTGGAGGCCATCGCTAGTAGGTTGGAGGCCATTGGACTCACCATGTTCGCAAACATCACCATGTTGCGAACATGACCATGTTGTGGCACGGCCACAATCTTCCCTGAGATGCGCACACTACCGCCTTGCGAGTGACACATCCTCAAGGCGCGCCAGGCCACAAAAAGTAAACATGATGCAAAAGAACGGATGTCGCTGCTAATACAATTGATTACAATTGCATCGTTTCTGTGGTACTACCAATCAGTCCGACATGCAAACATTTGCCTTGCCTCCACCCCCACTCTGTATCCTGCAGACGAAAGGAATCTGGGACTTCCCAGCCATTGTTTGTGCATTGTCTGCACGGCCGCTGATTGAAGAGAATGCACCAGCTTCTATCAACCCTAGAATATTCAGCGGTCAAGCTACGGAGCAGAGATCCGGGCGCTCCTTCTGAGGCTTGACGTGAAGGCAGGAAGTAAAGGACTTAGCTTGGCACATCCAAACACTGCTCTGTCTCAAGCAACCCAATACTATTGCAATGTCATGCAATCCTCTTTGCACTGTAAAATCGGACTCTGCTACACAATGCTGCGTCGATAGGTCCATGTCTCTTGAATGAAATGGTATTCCGCTAACATCGATTGGCCAAATCTGGAAAGCCTTATCCTGTGATTCTCCGCACAAACCCAGCTAAGACACGAAAGAAATGCAGCCACAACCTGAGGGCTGCACAAGGCGAGAAGACTCTGGGGACAACATCTTAGTGTTGAACAAATTGAACAAACAGCTCCTAAAGGCAAATTGCAAGAGTAGATTCCTGTTGCCTGCCGAATTCTGATTAAACTGCGAAAAGAACAACAAATGGTATCTGATGAATCACAAGGAAGAGACACACATATATATATATATATAATGTGTATATATACATATATGTCTATATATAATAGATAATAGTATTATCTATCTATATACTTCATACATATATATACACACTTCAACAGGAATAAAAGGACCGGATAACCCCACATGATAAGTTTTACAAATTTTAATTGTATATGAACATCACATGGGAGACGGAGTAGTGAGATGAAAAGTCAAGAACGAAGTGT